GACAATTTCTACGCAGTTATATTGCAATGGACCATCTTCGCTTTGAGAAATCTGTGTGAAGGAAACCCTGAGAATCAAGATATTATTCGAAATTGTAAAAAGGAGGGAGTATCGGATAACCCTGTGTTACAAACGATGGGCTTGACTTTACATGAGGATACGGATGGGAATTCGATTCGAATCGCTCCTTTACGTCGCGATTAGAAAAATTTGAATTATTTCCCGAGAGATTGCGACTGGTGATCTAGATAACTAGCTCAATTCTTATTAAATTATTATTCGCCACATAATTGTTTGTATCTATAAGATACAATGATCGGTTTAATGATATAAATAATTGTTATTCCAATTAAGTCGATTGGAAATGTATCCTGCTATATCATTCGCTGAATTACAATGTACAATCCGTATAATTAGACGAAATACGATATCGTGTTATATAGAGAAATATTTTATTCATGGTCGAGTGATTTATGGTACAATAAAAACTACTATGAGAGTTCATGGTCTATTAGCAATTGCGAATGTAAGTATACTGTTGCCTATTTAATTGCAACTCGAAGTGAGATTTATTTACTCTAAATAATGAACACTTCATTAATATTTCTTTCAATATGTATAATATGATAATTTAATCACTTTTAAGGAATATTCTTCGACAAATCAATAAATAAATTCGCGATAAGTAAATATCCATCTTTCTCCATGCTCTCTCACGAAATCGCTCAAAATAGAGGATGTCGAAGTTCATTTGCATTTAAGAGTTATAGAACTTTTAATTACTATGTCAAAACATGTATATATTTTAATAATTTTATTAATTAATACACTTGTCTTTAATTCTCTCTCTTTCTCGCCCTCGCAGTTCAAGACAATAATTTCTCACCGTCGTGGCTGTTTCTCACCGCCAACAATTTTACGATGAGGAACGATATGACGTCGTCGTCCCCGTAATAGGTGTTTATTAATGTCATCCGTGCGCGCGCAACGAAGCGAGGAGGAATCGCGGTGGGTGAGAAATCCCGCCTGCGCGTACCGACTTGTGCGTTAATTATACCGGAAGTTTCGAAACACATATACGTACGTACATGACAAGTTACGCGTTTTCCTTTCTAATGGAATTAGAATCCGAACGGCATGATTTCCAGTCGTCGCGCGCGGCGGAACGGGATCGGATATCGGTAAATAAATAATATCGGATAATTATCTTCTCGTATTATGTGCACGTTCTATTTAACGGTAATACGCGGGACACGAAGGATTTACGAAATGTAATAATACGTTTCCGGACGTAATACGCGATCTAATCGAGCATAACCGATCGCTGATTTATGGCGTACTTTCAATGAAGAATAAGATTATTATGGATAGTTGCAACGTGCAAGAGTCTAGTTTTATTCCGTAAATGTACGATCGGGCGTAAACATGCACGACATAACAAAGGATAATAGATTTATAACGCGCGTGAGTTTTATTCGAGTTATTTTCTCGAGAAAAACTGCATATATTCGACAAGATATCTCTCAATCTTGCACGTTTTGCGCATAAAAGTAGACGCATATTATACGCTCCTCGCGTATGAACGTCCGATATAAATTGCTTTTGATTTAAATAACGGCCCATCCCATCGAACGATCAATCTTGGGCCCGCGTAATGAAGAGCAATTAACGCGAAATTTATCAGTTAATTACATATGCGGTTAATTGCCACGAGTAATTATTTCCGCGCAAAAGCGTTCTCGTTACACCTTTCGTACGCGCGTGAGATGGGGATCATGGAAGCAAGATGAGATTCCTAATAAGTACACCACGTTGATCGTGCAGTCGATATATCGATAGAAGCGGCTTCTTGAAGAGAACGCAAGTTCTTTTAGAATCTAGCACACAAGTATTGCCGATCACGAAGATCTGAAGAACTAGAAAATGTTGGTACTCGCGCTATGTCGGAAATTTTCACTTTTTTTGTATGAACCGTATGAAAAATCACAAGACACAGACTTCGCCCATGAGCTAAATGTCTATTTGCGTGATAAGAATCGATCGGCGTAATTAACTGATTCGATATAATACCGCGCGTCTCGTAAGAGAAATGTCCTCCGTCCAACGCGCAGAGGATTTCGTCGATCGCCAGCCTTATTAATATTCATAGACGTTGACGAGGAGGAGCAGGAGAAGCGTAAAAAGCACCCGGCCATGCGTGAGATCGCTCAGGTGCGTAAATTTTGACCGCCTCCTTGATAATCAACTCGTTGACGCAATAAATTCCGGCGAGAGATATCCGAATATGTTAAAAGAAAGAAAGAGAGGGAAGAGTGGTGGTCCAGCTCTATGATGTTTTCCGTTTGTTTCCAATTATTATTGGGCAATTGCGAATAGTTTATCGTAATTTTAGACTTAAAGGAATATTATTTAATAGAGTATACAAGAGTTGAACACAGAAAGAATAAAAGATTTATCTCTCATCATCGAGAATTCAGAGATGCTAGGAAATTTTTGCTTTTAACGCATTTTCTTATTTTATTGCTTTTAGAAAAGCAAGTCTTTTCTTTCTCTTATACTTAGAGATGTAAATAGAAAAAAACAAAATGGTTTTTTTTTCATAAAAAACGGTTTTTTTTATGAAAAATAACAAGCCTCGTTTTTCTCAAAATTTTGTTTCTTTTCAAATATTTAATATTTTTATATTTTAATTACTGCAAATTGACTTTTTATTATTTTTAATTTTTTAGATTTGAATTATTATTTTTAATGTAGCTCACATTCCAATTGGCTATACATATAGTTATGTTTTTGTTTTGCATCTAATTGAAAATTATCCGTATCATGTCGAGTTTAATGTAATTTGCCGCAAAAATCTCATTAATCCATTAAAATTATACTTTCGAAAAAAAATTATAAAATATATAAGAACTTTAATTTTTTTATTATGTTAACAAAAAAAAAAATATAAAGAAAAATAATATTATGTTTAAAAAAATAATGAAGAAAAACAAAATTTGTTTTTTTTTTCTTTTCAATTAGAAAAAAACATTATCTACACGGAGAAAATATTAAAGTAAAAATTACACAATATAGTTTTTGTCATTGTAGAACATTAATAAGAAGGGTTGTATCTTGTTTCGAGATTTTTAGCATTCGCAGCTCTCATGCGCGAAATCTTCATTGAAAGCAAAGATATTTATCGTATCGTGATTGATAGATCGCCAGTAGATAATCGGTGCGACAAACGAACCAGATCCTCGTATTAATAGAGGCTGCGTCGAATCTCGAATCCGCGTCGGCGTCTAATAAATAAGTCGCGGATTCTCCGCGCGAAAAAGATACGAGATCTGAACACATGCGCCTACGCGTGACTTTTCTCTATCAAAGAGCCGATGTGCCGATATATTTCCTGTCTTTCGTATATACTTTATATACGTCGTATGTAATTCGCTGCATAATCATATAAAGGAAAATCGACATTAAGAGTCGTAATCTTTCTTAAAAATTTGGATATCATCATTTTATATACATATATAAGAAACGAAGGAGCTATCATAAATTTTGAGAGAAATAGAATTTTGCATTTAAATGTTTCATATCGAGAAAAAGAGAATTTTAAAAACTCCAACGATACTTTAACGATACGATGACACTGGACACGTCGAGAGGATCGGAGAAGAATCGCGGCGAAACATGTGTATGCCTAATCGTAAACGTAAACAGAGCTCGGAGAGCACCGAGAGCATATGGATCGCGCGATGTCTTTTAATGACTGCCGCACACGGTGCATAAGCCGTAAATGTTACGCCAAGCCGGGGGGATTCGTGTAATAGCCACTAAAAGTGACGTTCGTCCTTTTATGGATCGTAAAGGTAGGGATATTTGGAAACTGCTCGAAACTCTTGGAAACTCGCCGGATTGACCCGACTCGCAATTAACTTAAAGAGAGCGAAGCACAATCGTGCTTTTCATACAGATTAATTCCCAGAAGTAACGAAGGTCAATTCGATAATTTTTCCTCGACATCATATGAAATCATAAATTCCTCGCAGCAAAATCATCCGGCATATACAGGCATATACGGACACATTTTTTTTATAATATCATAATCATTTTTACGGAGAAAAAATTAATAAAGTATATGTAAATTAAATAATGTCTAAAGAAAGGATTTAAAAATTTGTTTCTCGTGACAGTCGCTAATTGTGCATGACTCGTATTCAAACCGGAACGTTTCGGTTTACCCTGGTAAATTAATCCCCTTTGGACACGCGCGTATTGTCAGAGCAATGAAAAGTCTACTCTAATTATCCCTCGTGTAAACGGAGCCTCCCGTCGATTTCTCGAGAGACGGACACAACGACGTTGCTCGTAAACAATGACAATAGGGCCTGCGAGCGAAGCCCAGGCCCTCATGATGGCCGCCGCGATCCGTCGAGTTAATTAATCGCGCCGAACGATCTCCATTGAAATGGAATCTGGATAAATTTTCCGTACTGATGCTGCCGGGCCGCTATAGCATGTGGGCATTATCTTTACGACCTCTCAAAGAAGAGAGGAGACGTGGACGGGGGGGGCGGCGGGCGGGGACGCATGCGCGCGATACGGCGGCTGCACCAAAACCGGAGAACCTGTTATCAGAGAAACAGTGGCTGGGACCTGGGCCAATTATCATGCAGGCGAGATTCGTGCAGGTCTCGTCTGCCCGAGTGTCACCCTCGTTCGTTCTGAATTTCGAGCGTTTTGGATACCGTCACATCCGCGTTCATCAACGTGTTGAATCACGGTTCTCCATAAACGCGCCGGACTTTTAAATCTAACGTTATTCTCAGTACCCGACTAACCGAAAATTACAATTGTGTCGACGCATTGTCCATCTAACTGTCGATGTTGATGTAGGTTGTGTCCTACGTTACACGTGCGGATAGGAATAATAGGCTGACATGACAACGCATTTTGCACGTAACGTGTTTTCGATACGCAGTGTTTTTATCGTCTACTTAGAGTGTCAAGACATGTAAAGACAGCAACCAATTCGATGCGAGATTAAATGCAAACGCAAGTCATCCGAGAGTGACTTTGAAAAAATGCATCTCCTTTCGCCTTTACTCTTTAACAACAACGCGGCTGGAAATTATCATGTGGCGCGATTTATAAAAGATATTGCGCGTTAATCGCGCGATTGCACACGATGCATTCTCCATCTTCGGAAAATTTTCAATTTGCCCGACATCCTTGTGACATATGATCATGGAAGATTGGACGTACAGGGGTGATACTCCTCGAGGAGAAAGCTACCGTTATTATCAGACCACAGAATTTGTATCGAGCCATTAAGAAGCGACAGCGATGATTTATGAAAATCGACGGACACGCTAATTGCCTGTCGATATAATTTATCAGATGGTGTTTTTATATCCGCGCAGGCGCACAGGTTGTTGCTTTGTGCGCGAGGAAGCGGGCTGAAATAATTTCGTCAGTTGTAACGAAACATGCGGCGGCTGTTTAATCACGATACGACATAATGAGGCAGATTCGATGCTTGTTCCTGAGGTAAGTTTCTATTAACTATTTTCATAAAAAGCCTTACAGTCTCATATTATTATTTATAATATAAAAATAAATGATAAAAATCGGCTACTAAGAGCCAAACACGTGATAATAGGTGCAAATAAAAATTATTAGCGCAATTTAAAAAATTTAAATAATATTTATTATACGTTTTAGTCCATTTCATGCCATCTTCAATAAAGTTTTTAATTGGATAAAATACAATAAATACATCCTGCACTTCGACATAACAAAAATCACCAACGACGGAGAGCAAGCACAGAGAGCAAAGAATTTTCCAATCTTTCTGACTCTTTTTTACGACTGTCATTCATAAGAAATTACGACTGTCATTTTATCTATAATTGAAACTTTACTGAAAATGGTTCAAAGTGGACTGAAACGTATAATAATAAACATTATATCTGAATCTTTTTTAACTGATATTTTTATTTGCGACTATTATCACATGTTCAGCTTTTATTAGCCCCTTTTTATTGTTTATTTATATTGTTTATATTATCAAGAGCCGATTTCTATTTATTGTTACTTTATTCATATTTACTATTAAAAAAAAATCGAGCAATATTTCATATATTTATCGTAAATGGAAATAAATAAATAGCAATTATATTATCGCAGGTATGTTGTGACGAAGCGCCCGTATAGCGCACCGTATCTCATACGTTTATTGCACTCGCAGTTATCAGATAATCAAAATAACATTATCGCGCTAGTGCTCGAAATCTCTGCGAAAAGGCATCGAGTCATTCATCTCGAATGTTGAGCTGGCGTTTCGTCCTGGCGCGAGGCCCACGTTTGCTTTCGACGCCGTCATTTTCTCCCGTTCTCACGATCTTCTCGCGTCTCTCCGTACTCGTGTTGCTCCTCTTTCGATTTCACTCACGTCGTTTACCGTCCCTCCATCGCGTGGCGGCTCTTAAAATCATGTATTTCCGTGGCCGAGTAGGCCGGTCCTTTTTTTTTCTCCGTTCTCCGAGTTTCGCCGTCTGCGACCATCTCATTCTCTTCCCCTCAATTCTCTCTCTCTCTCTCTCTCTTTCTTTTTACCTCCGCTCGAGAGTCCCGGTGTAACAATGGCTGCCCTCTAATTATCGGAAGACCGCGGCACTTTAAAGAGATCCCGAGAGCCCATCACGAGACTTCGTTTCGTTCGCTCCTTAAAATTTCTTTTTCCCCTTCCTTATATTCTCTTTCTCTCCCTCTCTCCTTCTCACGTCTGAGACGTCAGTAAAACAATCAACATAGCCAACTTGTTCGTGGAAAATTAGTTTTGTCTTGCGAGAGCATCTACCGCGAGTTCTGCAGCAGCTGTTGGTTCCTCGTCAGATCCTTCGCTCTATAAGGCGCGAGAAATGAAGGAAATGATCGAAATCATTTGCACCCTAAAGTAATCCTATAATTTAGGGGGAGACGCTCGACTTTCATCTTTTATCGTAAAGATATATTACACAAAAATTAGGGTCTCCTTCGTTATTTAAAATATAACCGTGAATGTAAATAGCTTCGATTTTCTAGCGTTTGGTCTCATCATGTGATAAATGAACGAGAGATTATGACGACGAACCCGAGATTATAACGAGATCGTCGTCGGTGGTTTCCGGTCGGCGAGAAAGATCGCGAAAGAAGGGAGGAAAGCCACGCCGATAAAGAGAAAATATCGGCTCCGTCGTACAACGAGAAGCGCGAGCTGGAATGGGCGTAACCCAAACGGGCTCTTGCACTTGTACCTGTTGCTCGTTGTTTCCTATTAAAATACTCTCAGCCGACCCACGCGGGAAAGGAGTCGCTCTTGCCTGCGCGTTAGTAACCAATGACTAAGAACGCGACGGAGAGCAGTCTTTTCCACCCTTTCCACGCGGTTCTTTCTCTTCCTCGTTCGAGGGGGCTCCCTCTCCTCAGCATCGCTCCAAAGAGAGGCCGCCTCTTCCAAAAGAGACGCCTAGAATCGGATGCAGCGTTTCCGGGTAAGAAACTCGTAAAGTCCACACTTTCTCGTTGATACTTGCTTGATTTATGAGAATGTAATTTCCGGCAGGAGATAGAAAATCATAAACTTTCACGCGATTTTTTAGATTTATTGAGAGGTAATTCGTGTAACGTTTTTTTTAAATATAATGTGAGATTTTATTTTTTTTTACCGAAATGTGTCACTATTAGTCGCATACGCTCTTTTTTTAAGATAAACTTCTCAATTAGCTCTTTTATTCCACGTTTTTCTCTTTTTTTGTTACATCCTAGACAGGATTTATTGTCTGAATTTCACTGCTTCCCCCATGCTTTTTGTCGTCCTTTCTTCTTTCATGTCATCTTTTTGTGAGTTTCTATTAGCGGTTTGTATTTCGGGCAGATGTTTGTAGGGTACAACGTCTTCTACACGCTAGCCAGTTTTGGCCTCTCGGCGGCATTGTATCCGCCGAGATATAAAAGATTGGGGTAGAGATTCTTTCGAGCTCTTAGAGCAACGACACTGCGACTGGAAAGGTGTTTACTCTATTTGGGACAAGCCGCTATCTTAAGAGGATAGAAGGGAGTCGAAATTTTCTGAAAAAAAAGAAAGAAAGTTTCCCCGAAAAAAAGTTTCAACGAGACTGTTAATTGCTTTTCTTAATAGATCTGTAAACAAAATATAAAATTGCTATTCCGTCTTTACCTAGACCTGACACTGCATACAAGTGAATTCAAGGTTTTTCCGTGACTCTTCTTTTTTTAAGGTTATTGGGAAAACCTTACAGGTTAAAAGGAACCGGTGAAGCTATCCGTCTTAACTTCATACTTTATTTCGATCGTGCGTCCGACGAATAATGGAGTCATAAAGCCTAATACGAGCGTAGGGTTTTTAGGCCTGTACGGCTCGATTTGGAGAATCTCAGGTAATTTATCTAAGGGCGGCGCATTCAAGAAAATTCCCTTGAACTTTGCCGCAGGTATATAACGTATACAGATTGAATTTTCGGAGTGATAATGAGAATAGAGGACGTCGGTTAAAAAAAAAAAAAAAAAAAAAAACCGGAACTTTATAAAAGACTGATTTGACAAAAGGACAGTTATATAACTAAAATATTTGCATAAATGTAAAACGCCATTCCTCACTATTAACGGCTCTCGAAAATCTCATCTTCAAATAGAAGAACTCCTCTCGTAAGCAAATAACTATTATACTCACGTAACAGACCAAATTAATCGAATGTTGCCGCGCTGCAGTGTCATAATTCACACGTTCATAATTCAAGCTTACGCTAAAGTTGTAATGTAATTCCTATTACATTGCACCATTGCATAATTCCGCGTTACTTAGCGTAATAATATCGCTAACATCGTCGCGCGGATGGTATGTTAAAACGCGTATATACAACAGGCGTCGCACGTCATGATGCAACGGAAGAATATTGTTTCCCTGTAATTTGAGTACACGGGCATATAAGAAGTGAAATATGACCAGTGACCTGGATTTAATCCGCGTGCGAGAAGAAAAATGTAAGACGCGGCCTTCTCTCCTTCGCGGCACAATAAGTTCCGCGAAAGAAATAAGGACAAATCTTAGCCGGACATTTCAATTATAAAAGCGCGAAGGACGCTGACCTGTCAGACGTCGTATTTTCATTCTATTCGTATACACGTAGATACGTGAATCTTTAAGCGTCCTCTCCATTAACGGCCTCCGATAATGAAACGAGACATTTTCGTCGAGCAAAAATTTCGATGATGTTTTCGCTCCAGAACACAAAAAAGAGAATTTCAGTTTTGAACGGAATATTCCCCGAAATAGCCGAAATATATTCCAGGAAAAGTCAATATAATTTTATGGAAAAAAAGGAAAAATTTTACTCGAATGTTACAAAATTAAATGCTTCGAAAAATCGACGCAAGTTCCATGATGAACGAAATATTGTATTTTTTAGAGATATACTCGGAATACCGCGACATACCGTGGAGTGAAAAAATGATGCTCATTATTAAGAATTAAAAATGATTAAAAAGAAATTTCTTTTTTTTTTTTGTTATTTTCTACCGATTTATCGATTTAATAAAAATTGCGTACGTGCAATATATTTCGCGCATCTGTGGAATCCGACGCGAGAGACAGCGTCATAAGGTCTCGTGTGACAGCATTATTGTTGTGACACCGGTGTGACGGCATTATTACTGTCGCATTATTGTTCTTAAAACGTCGTTAATTAAATCGTCGTTATAAATTACCCGTTGAATCGTGAAGCTAATGATGTTTTATTAAAAGTGCTACAGCGTGAAAACTGCGCGCTCAGAATTCACGGTGGGCTATAAACATTTTTACGGTATCCGCATCTGTCGTCCGCGATGAAGGAAAGAAACGCGAGAAAGGGACGGCCCGCGAGTAAGGCGAGCATAAAACGGGAATTCACAATGAATCCGCATCGGTTTTGTCTCCGCGTCGTTCTCTGCTCGTGTTTTATGTACATCCTGTAAGCACATTCCCCCGTGCAATCGTGACGCAACGCAGTTTCCGGCATGGCGCTATTGTTGGCGATCATTAAATTGTATACAGTTACACATAAAATTATAATTATCTCAAATCGTAGGCAATTCTACGGAACGATTTATATAGATTTATAGAGGTCATAGAAAAAATTCAATCCTCGCACAAATAAATGTTTTTTTAGCTGGTCGACTGTATTGCTTTGCTCAGCCAGACGTGATTCCTGTCGTTTGTCCGACTCACATAAATAAAATGATAGAGCAGTATTGTCATACATCGTTCGCTAACATCGGCATCGCATTATCGCGCGCAACAATTTTTACTATACATTTGTCCTATAATTCAAAAATTATAGAAATAGAGGAAGTGAAATAAAGCAAGAGAAGATTTGCGTGTGATTGATAATGCGAGAGAAAGACACATACCTGAATTCACAGTTGGTGATCGAAGACGATTTCGCACCAGATATCTTCGTTAGATTTGCGTCTTTTTTTTTCGAAACTCGCGTATTTTCCGTAGCGTTGCC